GGGACCCGCGGGCTGGCTGGGGGCGGGGCCCGCGGGAGGGGACTGGACGGTGCGTGTAGGACTCTAGCAGGTGGAAGGCAGAGCTAGAGCAGGGCCGGGGGTGGCCAGATGGGCGGGCCTGAGAGTTGGGTGGGGCTTGTTGATTGAGCAGGAGTTTTACGGGGGCCGAGGCTGGGGCTTAGGCGGGGCGGGGGCTGGTTGCTGGTGGTGGCTTGGAGTGGCCTGAGGTGGTTCCGAATTGGGGTTAGGACCTTCTGCAGGTATTTCAGACTGCCTTGGAGGAGGTGGGGTGTGTAGCGGGGTCTGCGGAGTAGTAGATCCTGAGGAGCGTTTGTGGAATGGGCAGGAGTCCGCAGGGACCTGAGGGATTCGCCCTGTGTGGTAGGTTAGAGGACACTAACAATTTGCTGACCTTTGAAAGTTTCTTTCTCTACCCAATCCCCACTTTCTGGTAGGGTTTCTGCGAGGTCTGTTAGGTGTACATCCTGCAGCTTTAGTGGCTTAAAATGTATTCTTCTTCGATGTGGTTTCTTGGGGCCAATTGGGAGAAAGTGAAATCAATAGCGCAACTGTTTTGATACTGAATATTGACAAGGGTCTTTTTGAATTAAAGAACTAGTCCTGGCCGGGCGTGGTGGCTCACGCCTGTAATCCTAGCACTTTGAGAGAGTGAGGCGGGCGGGATCACCTGAGGTCGGGGGTTCGAGACCAGCCCAGCCAACATGGTGAAACCCTGTCTCTTCTAAAAATACAAAACTTAGCCAAGCGTGGTGGCGCATGCCTGTAATCCCAGCTACTCGGGAGGCTGAGACATGAGAATCATTTGAACCCGGGAGGCAGAGGCTGCAGTGAGCCGAGATGGCGCCACTGTACAACAGCCTGGAGGACAGAGCGAGACTTCCTCAAAAAGACAAAAAACGAAAAACAAAAAAAACTGTCCTCCAGAAAAAGAAAAAGGAGTTGGAGAGACCTAGGAGCCGGAGGAGTAAGCCCGAACAATGTTCTCGGGAGCGATGCAGAGCAGATGGGCGGGGCCTGTGGTGGGGCGGGGCTTGTGGAAAAGCGTGGCCTGGCGCACAAAGTGTTGGGTCGCGCGAGGAGTGGTGGCATGTAGTGCGCATGGGTCTCTGTGGTAGGAGGCAGCTCTGCCAAGTAGGTTGAGGTGGTTATTGAGCAGGGCCTATGTGGGTGGAGCATAGAAGGGGCGACACCTACGTGAGTGAATACAGGTTCCTAGATCAGGCCTGCTGGGGCTAAGATGGGCGGAGCCTCTGAGGGGCAGGCCTTGGATAAGACGGCCTTAAGGCTGGGTTGACTGCCAAGTGGGATCAGATGGGAAAGGAAAGGGCTGGAGGAAGATGTCATTGTAGAGGCGAAGGAAGGCCTTGACCTCAGAGAAGGCCAGGCCTGGAACAGAAGGTAGAGTCAATGGTGAAATAGCTGGTGCTGGACTGCGCCTGGCAGGGGTGGGGCCTGGCGCACTGAGAGCATGAGTCTGCTCAGGGAGCCTTCTAAACGCTTTTCTGTATCTGAGCCTCCCTTTGGGAGATAGAATGTTATCGCAATTAAACTGATGGGCTTGGAACTGGGGTTTGGATTCCAACCCATTCTATGACAGTTAATCTCAGTAAAATCCTAGGTGAGGATTCAATGGGATAATATATTCAATGTATATAAAGGGCCTAGCACAGGGCTTGGTACAGAGTAGGTGCTTAATAAAGAATGATGATGATAATCATTGTCTCCACCTCCCCACGGACAAAATATCCATTGAGCACCTGGTGTAGGCCACACATTTTCCTTTTTTTTTTTTTTTTTTGAGATGGAGTCTTGCTGTGTTGCCCAGGCTGGAGTGCAGTGGCACGATCATGGCTCACTGCGACCTCCACCTCCCGGTTCAAGCAATTCTCCTGCCTCAGCCTCCCGAATAGCTGGGATGACAGGCGCCCACTACCACGCCTGGCTAATTTTTTGTATTTTGAGATGGGGTTTTGCCATGTTGACCAGGCTGGTCTTGAACTCCTGACCTCAAGTGATCCACCCACCTCAGCCTCCCAAAGTGCTGGGATTACAAGCATGAGTCACCGTGCCCGGCCTGGCCACACAGTTTTCAGGGCACTGGGGAATACAGTGGAGACGTTAACAGATGAGGTTTCCACCCTCCCATATCTCACAAGCCTAGTGGAAAACACATTAGTCCATTCATTCAGCTCATTTCCACTCGGTGCCTACTGTGTGCCAGGGTTCTTGCTGGGTCCAGAAAAAGCCCAGAGTACCCGGTGGTGCAGTCACCTGCTTCAACTTGGACCGTCAGGGACGGGTGTTTAGGAAGAGGTGGTTTCAATCTCCTGGAGGGCAGGGTCTTTTCTGTTACCCAGAGACTTGACAGTCTTAAGCATGTAGTAGGTACTCAGTAAATACTTGTTAAAAGAACAAATGGGCTGGGTGCTGTGGCTCATGCCTGTAATCCCAGCACTTTGGGAGGCCGAGACGGGCAGATCACAAGGTCAGGAGTTCAAGACCAGCCAGTTTGAGACCAGCCTGGCCAACATGGTGAAACCCCATCTATACTAAAAATACAAAAATTAACCGGGTGTCGTGATGCGTGCCTGTAATCCCAGCTACTCGGGAGGCTGAG